ATAAAGACCGTATTTCAAAATCAGGTCATGTTCTGAGGTACTCAGGGTTAAGTCTCAATCACTCGAATTTTGACGAGGACATAGTTCAGTCCATAACAGCCTATAACATGTCAGGAGTGAGACAACATGTTTTCTCGGCCATCTGTGGCACAGTTACATGTTCTGGGTATTCAAGCATGTGGTGCTGGCCTCCATTTGTACTGTTAGGGAATTGGGAGTGGCCTGAGACGTCTGTACAAGAAACCGTACATTTTGTTATGCCTCAGAACACCCACTTGTGTCAAAGACCTCTTTAGGAGCAGTGGGAGGCAGTGGGTTCTCGGCCAATATGAACTCATTCTAGACCCCATCCACCTTTTCTGGGGCTTCTTGGAATGGCATGCTCCAGGGACACCAGCAACACCTACCATGGGTAGGGAGGGAAACTGAGGCGGCAGCTCACCACAGACTCAGACTCCTTCAGCTGCCACCTCGGCCCTGCTCCATTCATGTCAGGGATATGGTTCTGACAGACACCTGATGCTTGAGCCTTAAAAGTCTCATCTAAGGGATAGAAAAGATCCTGCCACCCTCCCAAGGGAAGGGAGACTGTGACGTGATCAGGGATGGACCATCATCTGAAAGCTGGGCCAACCCCACCTTCCCCCACCTCTCCAAGACCTGTCCCAGATGGGGAGCAGTGCCTGTGCTATGCCAGGCTGGTGTCCCCAGGCCCTCAGGCCTTGGCCACCTCCTTAAGGGAGCCCTCCCTGATGCCCTTCCCAGACAAAGCTGTTCTGTGCTGCATGACCCCAAGTTCTGTGAAGCAGATAAGACATATGGCTCCCCTGCTGAAGGCAGCGTGTGGGCAGCTGGCAAAGAGGCAAGAAAAAGCCAACAGAGGCTCTTAAGCAGCTGACCCAAGCCTTGGCCTCTCTGCATTTTGGGGTCCAGCCCCCACCCCATTAACCTCTTCCCCATCTTCATTGGCATCTGGGAGCACAGAGTATGCCCAGACAAACATTTGTTGAATAAATGAACTGCAAAGAAGGAACCAGGGAGACTGGTGAAAGGGGAAGGTTCTGGAAGCTCTGGGTCTCCATATTCTGTTCTGTAAAATGGGCTTACACACATGCTACCAGAGATTTTGAGGGGATGCTGAAGATCTCGTCTGGGCATCTCCTCTTCCCTCAAGACTTAGCTGGAGTGTTGCCTGTCCCAGAGAGCCTACCTCAACCTGATTCTCCTGACACAGCATCCATAGGCCATGGTACCCCAGGGAGTGGTCATTTTGTGTGTGTTTGTTTTCCACAAATTGTATAATAACTTGGGAAATGTAAAATGCTTTTTGTTTTTCTTTAAATATTCTCCATTTTTTTCTCTCACTCAGTATAAAAATAAGATTTTTATCTTAAAAACTTCTCATAATGGACCAAGGCTAGAAAATTCCATCCCAAAATAAGAGTCAGGGAAGCAGAGTGGTCTCATGGGCTTAAGGGCTTCCCAGGTGGCACTCGTGGTAAAGAACCTGCCTGCCAATGAAGGAGACGTGAGAGCTGCAGGTTCTATCCCTGGGTCAGGAAGATCGCCTGAAGTAGGAATTGGCAACCCACTCCAGTATTCTTGCCTGGAAAATCCCATGCACAGAGGAGCCTGGTGGGGTAAAGTCCATGGGGCCACAGAGTGTCGGACCCGAATGAGCAAAGTAACTAAGCACTCATGGGCTTTGCCTCTTTTTTAAAAAATTATGTTTTTAAATTAAGAGCAATTATTTTAAAAAGTAATCTAAACTTGTAGCTCCAATGAGCTGGGTATCTGGGGAGAAAAGAATTTTCCCCAAAATATTTTCTGCCAGGCTGTTTGGGATCCTCCACACACACACTAGACCTCTGGCTGCTCCAAAGGCAGGCCAGAGCTGGTCCTCTTCTGTAGGGAACGCCTGCCCGGAGCCCACTCCCCATCAGGGCTCTGACTGCTGGGTTGTCTTCCCTGGCCCTGAGTCTGCACAAGTGAGGCATTCCTTGACTTTCAGGAGAGAGAAAGGTGAGTCAACCCCCGGCAACATCTGAGCCATCACCCACAGGTTCACAGTGATGGTTTGGAGATGTGAAGCAAGGCAGCTGGGAGGAAGAAGCCTATGGGCTGTGTGCTTTCCCAGGGGGGCAAAAGCAGATGATGGAGTCACAGAACTGAGGGGGCCAGCCCCCCCGAATGCCAGGCCCACTTGGGAGCCAGGACACAGGGCGCCCAGGAAGGACAAAGTCTGATGGGCTACTTCCGGGGCTCCTCCTTCACCTCTGGGTGGCCAGACTGTGGCTCATTTTCTCCTGCCTCTTGGCGCTTTTCTGTGTTGTCTGAATTTTTTGCAATAGGCATGAATCTATTCTCTCTTCAGAAAACAGGAAACTAATAAATATTTTAAAGGTGGAATACATGTAACTGATTACGCGCATTCACTGGACAGTTCTAAATTCTATCTGTCAGAAAAGATATGGACTGGCCCCTCATTTACAGATGGGGAAGCTGAGACTCAGGGAGGTGGAATTATCCCATCTGTGGCCATTTGCCTGCTCGAATGATGCCTCATTACTGTGGTCTGAGGGCTCACTCATAGGGTATGCTCTGCCAGGGGGAAGTGGTGTGTTTTCACAGACGGAAGTTTTTCCTAGGTAAGCCTGGGGTAAAATGTGCATTGGTGAGTCCAGGGTAATCCAGAGGGTTTGTGGTTTTGAGCCAGTTAAGCTTCTTTGAGGCCATATACCTGCACAGCCAGCGGGAGCCCAAGTCCCCAGTCCCAGGAGAGGTATGAGAGCCTGCCTCCCCATCCTCCCTGCCTGCTTCCCCCTGCCTAACACAGACCCTGTGACTTCTCGGCCCTCATCAGCCCCTCACAGGGCATTTTAACCACTTCTGCACCCTGCTGGTCGACTTTGGGTAAGCTCTGCCCTGTCTCTGGGCTCCTGTCTCCTCCCCAGCTCTCCCAAGCCACATCTACTGAGGCCGTGGCTCAGGGACACTGAGGCCCAGGCTGGTGGCCTGGCGCACACCTTGGGGGAAGGTACTTCCTGGGCCTCCTAGGGAGTGGTCTTTCACAAGGCCTGGAAGGCTGGCCAAGACCATCCAAATGAATAGATTGGAGAGACTTGCATGGAACAGGTGCTTGGAGGGCTCCCACTTCACAGATGGGGAATCTGAGGCCTGGGGGAAGGATCTGTCCATAGCAACACAGCTCATCCCCAAGGCCCAGCCTCTGGGGCCTGACATCCTGGCTGTCTCTGCCTCTCAGTTTCCCCAAGATGGGCATGTTAACACTGCTCATACCAGGGTCAAAGGAACATTGCAAGTCCAAGTGTGCTCGGCATGCGAGCCCCATAGTCAGAGCCAGTAAGAAGGTTGGATCAGCAGAGAGCAGGAAGGGGCTGTTCTGAGCCCTACAGCCTGCGTACCTACTCACCTCCCCACTCTATGCTGACAGCTGCGCTTTTCCAGTAATCATCATGAGCTCTTTGCTGTCCCCATTTTACAAGTGAGAAACTGAGGCTCAGGCCTGTGAGTCACATGTTTGCTGAGTAGCTGCATTAGTCATCTCCAAGGAATAGAAACCCAGTATCAACCCAGAAGAGATAGCCGTTGGCAGTTTTTAAAGTTTTGAGGGACGCCCTTGAGGCTAAGGATCCCAGAGCAGGGGAGCAACTCTTTCAGCATCCTAACACCTCATCCCAGAGGTGGGCTGGACCATGCGTTCATCCCTGGACAAAGAGCTGTGTCAGGTAGAGTCACTCGATGGACCAGGGTTCTGGGAACCTGTGGCAGCATAACCACAGATACTGTTTATAACAGCAACAGTCATTTCTGATCATAAATCTGCAGTCCACGCAGGGCTCAGCACCTTGGCTCTGCTCCACAGTGAGACTCCACTAGAGAGGGCTCATCCCAGGGCATCATCACCTCTCCACAGGGCTGCTTGAGCTTCCTTATGACATGGTGCTGTCTTCTAGGAGCAAGCATTCCTGAAGACAGGGAGTGGAAAGTGCCCGTTTATCCAGGCCTTAGCCTGGAATGTCACTTCCACTGTATTCTGTTTATCAAGAAGCCTGGGAACTCAGGTTCAAGGAGAGGAGACAGACCTCACCTTCAGCAAATCTGAGGGCCACCATGGGAGCAAAAGCACTAGGCCAGACTTCTCGAGTATCTGATGGGCACCTGCACACTAGTGGCCACTCCATATTAGAGAAGTAGGATCAAATTCAGACCCTAAGTGTAGGTGTAATCTGAGTTCTGATAAAACATGCACAAGCAGATGCAAACACAGGAGGGCTGGAGGACATGGTGTTAAGTGCTGATAGGAAATATGAGTAATGTCTGTGTTTTTGATGTTTGTCCACATTTTCTGAACCCTTCAGGGGAATGTACACTTTATTCATCTGGCCTTGGGCTGTAAAGATGCTATCTGAGGGCAGGCGGGCAGAGACCATACCCAGATACAAGGTCATCTCTCATATACCCACTTGTGGAGTCCCAGGGATGGTACCTTCGAGTTTTCCTTCCCATCAAGGCCCAGCTCAGCCCAGGTGGGTCCAAGCTCATGTGAATCATGGATATTGCTATACACTTTTCTCCCCTGTCCCCTGTATCCACCATGGTCCCAGCCCTCCTGGAAACCACCTTGTTTTCAGCTCCTCTGAGAGGCTCAAGGAGGGCCAGGGGAGGCTGAGGCCAGCCCATTTGGTGAAGGCCAAGATCCCCGAGGGTATTGCACGGGTTAAATGTCTTTCTGTCTCTGTGCTCACTGGGGCCCCTGGGCAGAGACAACGTGTGGACAGAACACGGTGATCCTTGGTGGGGAACATGCTTCTTCAGCCTTCAGAGGACTGGGGGCAGTGCACAGGTCCTGCCTTGCCTTGCTGATGGCCACCACCTCTCAAAACCGGGCTCACAGTGTAATTAGTTAAAAGGTCCCTGCCCAGCTCTTCCTTGACTCCCTATTTTATTCAATGCAGTCATTAAATACCAGCTCCTACCTGACTCTGTGCCCCATGCTGCCAGCCTCTGTGATCTCTTGGGTTCCCAGGGCCCGGGAGTAAAGCCTGCTCACTGTTTCCTTCCTGTGGAAACCATGGTAAAGGTTCTCGCCACAGGTCCCCCTCTCCCTCTGCTTCCTGAGAAACAGTGGTGCTTCCTTCTGTGGCCCTGCGTGGTGCCGTGTGCTCCCAGCTCCCAGCCCCCAGCCCCATAGGCAGGTTAGCTCCGAGGTGATGGTTCTGCACTATGACATCAGCATCAGACAAGGTCACTCTGTGAGACAGACAACAGCATACATCACCAGGATAGAGACATAACTAACCGTCCCCTTCCTGGTGATATAAGTGACCACTGCTTTGTTACCAGACACAGCTTTTGCTTCCCTTCATTCCTCACACTTCCCAATAAGATGTATTGATACTCAGGCATAGAACAAGTCCCACTTCCTCACGGCATCCAATCCAGCTCTGCTTCCTTGAACCCTCATCAAAATTGCCTCACATGAGCCCACACCCTACTCAGGTCCTCCCTAACACCATTGTACTGAGATGGGTCACACATTCCCACTGCGAGCACTTCATCTCATCTCACTGCGGGAGATCTAAAAACCCCAATGTTGTCCTGGGGTCTCTGCTGGGAGGAATGGGGTGACTGGCACACAGGCTTCCCCTGCAGCCTAGCGTCAGTTGCTCCAGACCTCAGTTGCTTGCTAATAGACTCTGTGTATCAGTGTCCTGGGGCCACTACAAGGAAGTACCACAAATCAGGAAGCTTAAAACAACAGATGAATCCTTGGTGTGCCTTGGCTTGTACCACTGCAGTCTGCCTCCACTATCACGTCTCTATGTGTTCTTTCCCTCTTTTTATAAGGACACCAGTGATTGTATGGACCTCATCTTAACTAGTTACATCTGCAAAGACCTTACTTCCAAATAATGTCACATTCTGACATTCCAAGTGGACATGAATTTTAGTGCAGGACACTATTTAACCCATCATCTGCCTTCTGACCCCTCAAAAGTCACTTTGGTCCCCCATGTACAAAATACATGCACCCCATCCCAACATCTCCCAAAGTCTTAAATCAATCCTAGAGGGAGAAAAAGGAAGGAACAAAGGAGCCACTGGTCCAGTGTGAGTCAGAAGCCCAGCAGTGCAAGTTCCAGTAGATTTCAAGGCCTGTCAATAACCCTTTGTGACTTGATGCTCTGGGTGCATGATGGTGGCCCTGCTTCCTGTGGCTTTGGTAGCAGCTGTAGCCCCACCTTCTCTTTTCTCTGCCTCTGCCTTCATGGCTCTGCCCTCCAAACCATTCTTTCTTCACTTCATTCCATCCCTAGGCCTCTCAATCTAGACTGGCAGATGTAATTGATGTAACAGTCTCAAAAACCTTGTTGGTCTTCTGTATAGTTCACAGGGAGCCACACCATCAGATAAGAGGCTCCACAGATTTTTCCTGAATAACCCATCCCTGTTCCTTCATTCCACTGAGATGGTGGGGTAGACCTGCAAGTCATGTTCCTAATCTCTTCAGCAGTAGGTTCTCCCACAACACCTTTGGTGCTCTCTTTAGACCACATTTTCTGAACAGTAAATTTCCTAAATTTAACAAACTGAAGTGAAGTGAATTGAAAGTCGTTCAGTTGTGTCTGACTTTCTGCAACCCCATGGACTATAGCCCGAGAGGCTCCTCTGTCCATGGGATTCTCCAGGCAAGGATACTGGAGTGCGTAGCCATTCCCCGCCCCCCCAGGGGATCTTCTCGACCTAGGGATCAAACTAGGGCTCTCATATCGCAAGCAGATTCTTTACTGTCTGAGGACTTCTCAAATCATCAAGTGCTGATTCCTTTTTGCTTATCAGTTCCTTCCCCCATTTCTTTCTTTCCTCTCAGATTTTATTATAAACAGCAAGGAGAAACCAGACCATATCATCCACATTTTACTTGGAAATTTCCTCAGCTAAATAGTCAAGTTCATTCTTTACAATTTCTACTTTCTACTCAACATTAGAACATAATTCAGCCAAGTTTCTGCTACTTTATGGCTTTTCCAGTAACCACTTCTTCATTTCCATCTGAGATCTCATTGGAAGCACCTCTCATGTTCATACTTATATCAAAATTATGTTCACAACCATATATGTATTCTCTGAGGCAATAGAAACTTTCTCTACATTCTCCTCACTTCTTTCTTTTCTTTTCCTTTTTGGACGTTTTTCTTTTTTTCTTTTTCTTCTTCTTCTTCTCTTTTTAATTGAAGTAAAAATTTACAATGTTGTACACCAGTACAGAAAAGTTGTTCAGTTATACATACATATATATTTTTTTCAGATCATTTCCCCTTATAGGTTATTGCAAAATATTGAGTATAGCTCTCTGCTGTATACAATAGGTCCTTGTCAGTTATCTCTTTTATATATAGTGTGTATATGTTAATCCCAAACTCCTAATATATTCTTCTCTCCCACTTTCCTCTTTGGTAACCATAAATTTGTTTTCTCTGTTTGTACATTTATTTCTGTTTTGTGTATGGGTTCATTTGTATCTTTTTTGTTTGTTTTTTGATTCCACATATAAGCAACATCATGATGTTTGTTTTTTTCGGTCTGGCTTATTTCACTTAGTGTGATATCTCTAGGTCTATCCATGTAGCTGCTATCATGTCTACTTTATCCATTTATCTGTCAGTGGACATTTAGATTGCTTCCATGTCTTTGCTGTTGTAAACAGTGCTGCAATAAACATTGAGGTGCGTGTATCTTTTCGAATGCCGGTTTTCTTCAGGTATATGCCCAAGGGTCCTCACTTCCTTCTGATCTCGGTTTCACCAGAGTCAACTTTGTTGTCCATATCTCTACCAACAATCTCTTCAAGGAAATCTAGGCATTTTCTATCATGTGCCTCAAAATTCTTCCAGCATCTACACATTACCCAATTCCGTAGCTACATTTTTAGATATCTGTTATAGCAGCATTCCCCTTCCTGGTACCAAATCTGTATTAGTTTGCTAGAGCTGTTGTACAAATTTAGTGGCTGAAAACAACAGAAATTTATCCTTTCAAAGTTCTGGAGGCCAGTAGTCTGAAATCAAGATATCGTCAGGGCTGTGTACACTCTGGAAGCTCTAGGAAAGGATCCTTCGATGCCACACACACCAGAGTGAGCTTCTGGTCACTCCAGGTGAACTTTGCTGGTCCTTGGCATATAGTTGCAACATGCCAGTCTCTGCCTCTGTCATCGCAAGGCCTTCCGTGTGTCCTGTCCTCTCCTTATAAGGACACCAGTCATTGGGTTTAGGGTCCACTCGATCTCATTTTAACTAACTTCATCTGTGAAAAATATACTTGCAGGTAAAATCACATTGTGAGGTTTCAGGTGAACATGGATTTGAGATGAGGGACAATATTCAACTCAGGAAGCCAACGTGTGTTCGCTTTCTTCCCTTTTCTGCCTCATTCTCCATTCCCCTACTATTCTTTCTGGGTGGCCTCCCAAATAAACTCTTTGCATTCGATCTGTGTAGCAGGATCTGCTACTGAGAGAAAGTTACATAAGACACAGGCCCCCTGCTGGGAGGCAGTGAGGACCCACCTAAGACATGCCCCCCTCCTCTGTGAGCTACTGGGAACCCGCTTAGGACAAGACTCTCAGCTGAGCTGCAGTGTCCCCGTCTGTGAATGGAGTGAAGATAATGGCCTCTTCCTCTGAGGTTTTGGAAGGGAATGCTGGAGGGCTCTGGGCTTAGGACCACACACGGAGAATGGCCATGCCCTGTCTCTGGGAAGTGGGGATGCTTTGGGAATTACTCCAGTATTTTTCCCTGGAGAGGGGCTGCTCTGGTGTCAGTTTTCCAGTGCCCCTTGGGGGGCAGATGTCCTGGGGGGCTATCATTTGCTCTCTGAGTTTGGATAGAGCACAGGGAAGTAGCACTCCAAGATGAAGATAGATTCATGAGATGTGGCAAGCGCATTGTCAGCAGGCAGAACTGGAGTGCTGATGACCAGGGCTCCCAGGGGCAGGCCTGGCCCTGGCAGGAAAGGGGAGGGTTTTGTCCCTCTCAGGGATACTGCCAGCCTGGACTCTGTTGGGAATATAGGGTCAAGGCAGGACATTTTGGAGGATGCAGGCTGGTCCCTGTCTGTGGGTGCTGTGGGGTGCGGCAGGGCCATAGAAGAAATAGGACTCCAGATGAACTTTATCCCCCCCCGCCGCCTCAAGCAAAAGCCCAAGAAGGGGTTCCTCCCCCCCTTTCCCCTAACCCAAGTCGGGGGCCCCGGGAAGCCCCCCCAACCCAATCCAAGAAGGCCCCCCCTCCACCCTCAAAGGGGGACTGACTGTCTTGGGTCACATGGCCATTTTGGACCAACCCTGGCAGAGGGAGCAGGAGAGCTGGTCAGTGAGCCTGTGGTATAGGGGGCCCAGATGGAGGCCTTCTCCTGCACACCTTCCCTTTCTAGGGTCTTGGGGCCAGATGGCCCACCTGAGCCACCAGCTCTTCTCCTTGGCACCACCTGGAACTTGCCATCCTGCTGGGGTGGGTTCCTGGCCGCTCCCCATGGCTTGCCCTAGTCCTGCCCACCTCTCTGGCCCTCAGTTTTCTCTCTTATAATTGGGGGGCAGGGGCGGATGTGGGAGGGTATGTGACCAGGGAGCATCCAGGCCTCTTGTCACAACTGGTTGCCTTGTGGCCACCTGGAGCTCCTCGGATCACTTGGAGTACTTAGGAATACCTGAGCTCCCTGGGGAGACTGGAGCCTCACAGGGACCATCTGGAGTCCCTGGGGACCACCTGGGGCCCCCCAAGACAAATTAGAGACCCACCGTGGGCCCTCAGAAACACCTGGAGCCCCTCAGGACCACCTGAAGCCCCTGTGACCACCTGAAGTCCTCTGGGACCATCCACAGCCCCCTGGGAACCCCACGAGGAAGGGGAGGTGACTAATAGGAATGGGAGATGGGGGTCCACAGAACAGCCCCTCTCAGTTGCCAGCTGGGCTTCCGGAAGGATCATTCAGAGAGATCTCGTCTACAGACACATTGCAGTGGCTCTTGAGGAGGTGAGCCCACCCTCCTTCCTGGGTGCCCAGCACCTGGACCAGCTGCTCAGAAGGGCTTGGATTCCAGGGCCCTGTCAGACCCCAGGAGGTGGGAAAGCCCTGTGAGCATCTAGGGGATGAGGATTAGGCCCCCCCAAGGCCTGGGAGTGTCAGCCGGGGCTTCAGGGGCTG